TGAAATGTTTTTCTTCTGAATTTGCAGATGTGCAAGGCAGGAAATCCACTCTTGGGAGTGGGTCTTGACTGGAATATGGGATCTGATGTGACTTGTGTTTCTTCTCCTTAAAGACTCTCAGAAATTAGGTGGTGCAGTATCCCAAGACAGAACATCTCTCCTGAAGTACTCATAGGAAATTGGGAGTGAGGCAAAAGCAAGTATGGAATGTTTTCCATATATAGAAGTATCCTAAGGGCTGCAGGACAGATTTTTGAATTTCCCCCTCCTGACTTGTTCTTCCTTAGCATCTTATTCCTGCCTGCATATATCCTCCAATTGAATGACTTAATATGAAAATTTTTCTTCATTCTTGTGTTTGTTGTTGTGCTTTCCTTCTTTCTATAGGTTCTACTTAGTGTCTAATCTGTAGAGTTTATATCCTAATAGAGAAGACTTTCTTATCTTAGTTTATCTTCTAAAATATTGTATTCTTTCTGTGTGCTTAGGCTACATTCTGTCTAAGGTTCTAATGTCCAGGAGAGATTGTTTTTGATGGGCATTTGTGTGCATAAGTTCTGTGATACTTGTATAAAGAGATGATTTTGAATGTGTCCAGAGACATCCCCTCCTCAGGAGGTTGTCGCAGCATAGTATCTACCCTACGCTAATGATACTGGCAAAATAAAAATCAATTCTAATTCTAAAAGATGTAAAACTTGTTCTTAATGATGATTTATCATTTCAATCGTGAAACTACAAGAATAAAAGTGAGTTAAAAAATTTTTTTTGCAGGTGATTTTGAATATTTCCTCGTGTTGTTCAGCTGACACTGTATTACAGTTCATCATTGTTAGGTTACTCTTATCATAGTTTGTATTTCAGTCAAAAGTTGTGAATAAGTGTGGCTGTTCTTAAATATTCCTTTCTGCCAGATTTTAGGAGGATCTGTAAGCAATGTTATTAGGATATTTACTAACAGTAGTAATCAGGGATGTGTATTTACACCAGCACGATTATCCCTTTTGTATGTGGAACTGCAATGGTGCTTTACAAATCCGTTGCTGTGAATGATCTTTAAAATTGGGGATGAAGTATGGGGAATTTTAGAAACATCCAGATTGGAAATAGGACGGCAGAAAAAGTCAGATATTCACAAATATTGTAGTAGCTCTGTAGCCTTTTTCTCTCAATTATTTTCATCTAAGGTAATTAATTTTATAATTGGATATCTAATTACAGAAGTTCTTTATCGTTGCTGATAAAGCGTGTGACAACTCAGAATGAAGCAACTTTAAGATATTTTGCATGTTTTGAAATGGCAAAAGGCATAGGTCTTTATCTCAGACATATATCAAATTGCAAGGCATACAGATTCTCAAGGTTTGCAAGAATTTTTCAACATCACAGGATTTGTTTTCCTAGCTTTATTTTTGAAAAATAAAAAAAAAAGCTGTATTCTTTAAAACTTTCCTAAAAGCCTTTCAGCTTGAAATGAGACCTAGCAGAAGAAATATCAGCCTAGAGTTTTGGCAAAGATGTATGCAATCTCTACAGTATTGTTGTATAATTGAAGATGTTAAGGAGCTTGTATTATAGTGCTTACCTGCTTATGTCTCTGTATCTTAAGGTATTTAGAAGAAAATACTTTTTTCCTTGGTAAGAAGTTAATAAATATAATTAAGTTGAACTTAATGGAATTACTAGATCCATACGCAATTCTATGCTAATATCTTGAAAATTAAAAAATACTAGGATTTGTGTTTGGACACTTAATATTTTTCTTTCAGTTAACTGATACCAGCAGCATCCAACAACCCTTTACTATTTTACCAGTTAAAACAAAATGGAACAATGCAAACTTTCATATTCTCTTATTTGATCTGGACAAACTTGAGGAACTTCTACTGTCATCTCAACTCAATGGATTAAAGTCATCGAATTCATTCCATAACTTTGAAACTCTAGAAAGAGCCAAAAGTACTACCGAGAAAAGGGTACCGACATTAAAAAGAATTAAAACTGCTGGCTCCATATCTCCAGTGGATGGGCAAGTAGATACTGTTTGTTCAGACCAGGTCTCTAGGGATAATAACGCAGCTAGGCCTTTGGAAGAAAGTAGTGGCATGAAAAGACAGAAAAAAATGAAGAATTCAAGAAAGACTAGAATGGAGCCATCAGGAAACATTGATGTGAACATCGCCACTGATGCAGCTAAACTGCTTTTGTCATGTCTCTTACCGTGGGGTGTAGATAAAGAAATAGACGATCTTTGTGTTAGACACTTGGATATCTTGAGGCTTCAGCGTCCTGTTTCTTTTGGACTTGTGTCAAATGAAAACCACCTATCACTAATGTTGCCAGGATGGAAACGTACTGATAGTGGTGCGCTAGAAGAACATGTAGTAATCAACTTCCTTTCAAAAAGAGTGCTTGATTTATCAAACAAGTACCTTGCTGCAACTGAAGGACAAACTGGAAAGAAGGATGGACCTGAGAATAATGTTGATGGAACAAAGGGATTGGAAACAGTATTCTTCTTATTTAGCAGAATAGCTTTAATCAACAGGATAATTAACATACCTTCAGCAGTTACAGGTGAAACTGAAAGGTAAGAACCTTTTCATTATGAGTCTTTTCTTACTTTATAGTGGTTAAAAAGTAAAAAATATGAAACACTTCTCTTAAATAGGGACTTTTGCGAGAGACTTTACATTGTTTCTTTATAGCGTTTTTATAGGATATTCTTTGAACAAAAGGAGATTGAGGTAGTTAAGTATCTTTATATTTTTCTGTTTAGCAGATAAGAACTGATGCAAGAAATTTTTTTCAAGAGAACAAGAACTTGAATTATCCAGCTTCACACCCTGTTTTTCCAGAGATCACTCTTTTCCTTGCAGTTTAAACTAAGCAAAATAATGAGTTCTCTTCAGGCACGTTTTGAGATGTGCATTAGCATGTTTGTGCTGTTTCAACTTCCACTCCCTGTAAGCAATATGCTTCCTTTACCATGAAACCCTTGGCTCCACAGATAAATAAAACATGAGAGACAAGAACAATCTGTCCTAGTTACACTTTCTAAAGTATAACCCCCCCAGTAATAATAGCAGCTACTGGGAATGAATGCCTCATCAGCCCTTACGTTCTGAGAACCATCCCAAACAACATTTATGTTACTCAAAACAAATTTATTGACTAAATGCTTTTTCAGTGTTAAAGGAAAAACAGCATGCTCAAAGTTATTTGACCAAGCCAAATAAAGCATACTAATCAGGCAGTGGATGTTGTCCACAGACTTTTGTTGTTCAGCAAACCTATGTCGGTCTGTATTTAGTGTTTTAGGAACAATCAACTGTAGTGTTGGTGATGCTGTGGCCCTAGAGGCAAGAAGGAGGACAAAAAATACTGATCTTGATGCTGCAAGTATCTGAATCTTCCACAAAGCCCTAGGCATTCAGTGTATCCCAGGGGATATAGACCATCCCGCAGGACAAACGCACATTTCTCAGTTACTTTTACTGCTAATCACACTGCCTACTGGTCCATATTCAACACAAGCTTTTATATGAAGGGTTGTTTCCAGTATTCCAGCTTGAACATGAATTCCTGTCCATGCAAGAAATGACTTTATGCTTGCACTCTGTCTTACAGTACTCTGTAGGAAAGACATTGTGTAATTGAAGCTAGTCATCATACCAGAATCAAACATTTTTCCCAGACATACGCATCCTGGCTTTGGAATATATCTCCCAGAAAATTATAAGTATTAAAGTTATTGCAAGAAAAAAATTACACGATTTTGTGAAAACTATACTATATAAAGTTTTCTCCAGGATATGTAAAGCTATAAAAGCTAGCATCTCTTGTAGAAACAGGTGAATTTTTGTACAAAATGGAGAATTTGTACAAAAAATTGCCATAAATTTTGGCTACAAAAAACTATGAATTTTTGTTCAAAGACTTTGAAATGCTTTATTTGGGATTTTGACATAGTTTGGTTTGGATTACTTTTTCCAGGTCTGGGTAGTATATCTATTTATAGCTGTCTTGTAGCTAGGTTTTAGTTTGGTGCTATTTGTGATGTGCTGTATATTCTTTGTTCTTCATCTCGTACACATTCAGAAAACAAACAGACAAGTAGCCACAATTTTTCTGTGTTATTGAAGGATAAAGTGCTCTTAGGGAACTTGATCAGAACTAGACTCTATTTGCTGCGTTTTTATCAACACAGACCTCAGAGGTTTTAATCTCCTGGACTTTTTTCCTCTTTACTGCTGGTGACAAGAAATTTTTTCCTCATTGTGACTCTGTCCCATAATAGCACAGTTTCTTTCCCCTTCCAAGAACTGTTTCAGAACTTTAGACATGTTGGTCATAATTCACTCCCCACCCCCCCCAGAGATAAGAGCAGTTGAGATGTGTAAAGGATTTTCTGTTGTTTCCTAACCTCTGTAAAGCTGCAGATTGACCCAGTGCAGTCAAGAACCTTCATTTTCATGTAGAGTCACAAAAGTTGTGTGGGTAGAATCAACGAGATGATGTTACTGTGTCAGCAGTAATAGGAGAAGTGGATTAGAGCCATGGGAAAGAATTTGATGCTTCAGACACTTTAAAAAATATAGACTGGTTCTACACATGATGTACTTTCGTGTGATAATGCTTTCTTTGTGTCTCAGTATTAGTCATAGTTCTGCTATCTGAATATATCTGTACTTTTTGTATTGCCTCAAAACCTGTTATGTGCCTCAAAACCACTCTTATCCCTCTCTCCACCTAGGGAAAAAGCCCCTTTCCTGCAAAGTTCCCTTTCCCTATTCCCTCCTCCCCAGTAATAAGCATAGAAGGAGTAGGAGTTGGCCTGTATGCCACAATCTTGAGATTCAGCCTTCATTTCACCTCTTTTTCTTACAAATAATTAGTGTCTGAATGAACTATAGTCATCTGTATTCATTTCATCTTCCTATATGATTTATCCTTATTCATCATTTACTCTATATTCAGGGTTGCAATTAGTTTTCTATGTTATGATGAGCTATTAAATTAATTCACTTTTCTCTAATTAGAAGTTTGAAAGAAACCAAGCAAATGCTATTTTGTCTAGTTTGCCTTCTAGAAGTACAGTATGGAGCCACACCTGTTTGGGCAGTTGGTTTAGCCAAAACTACAGCATGCTCAAGGGAAAAATCTTGAATTCTAATTCACCGCAGCTTTTGCAGAAGGAGTTGGTAGGACAGCTTTCACAGCTTGTCAGGGTCCTGGTCTCCTAAGTATTACTGCAGTACAAACAACTTGTACTCATTCAGTTAATGATATGAGAAACAAAATGCATTTTGATCTCCTTTCAGTAGCTTATCTGTTTGCAGAGCCATGAATGTTTCTCCATCCTGTGAAAGTTTACTTCCGATTAGCATACTGGTACAAACTCCAAAACTTTTAAACTTTTAAATTAAAAACAGAAGAAAGAATATCTAAGCAGATTATCCAGTGACAAGGACACTTGCCTAATTGATATTCAGCTGATATTCATAGTTCTGCCTGCTTTGATGCTGCAGAATGGACTTGTATATTTATTCCTTGCAATGCAGCACAGTGTCTAACTACTGGTTTAATAATAATTTTGGGATTCCAGCTTTCTTCTCTTAATGCTGGCCCACTCTGCATATAACAATGAAATATTCATTGAGCTGTAAGGAGAATTATTTTTGTGTCAGTCAACTATGGCCTTGATCTGGGGAATGCAATAATAAAGTTTAAATCTCTGTTCTTTGTCATATCAGATGATTTTGCTGTTATGGGAGAGGGAAAGGAATTTCTTTTTTGTTAAATAAAATTCATATATATACATACTTTTAATCTGGAGAGTCAGAAAAATGCATTTGGTCAATTTATAGACTATAAAGTATTCTTGGATGAGTCTGGTGTTCTCATTTTGAGCAGAAATTCTGTGTTTGTCAGTATGTATCTATCTGTATGTTTCTGCTTGAACTAGGGGTATGACAGACCATTCCCTGATGATAAACATTTGGCTGAAAAAACTTTTCAGTAGTTGCTATCATAAGTTTTCAGCTTATGTTTTGGATCAGTAAGTTTCAAGTTATAGTATTTCTGTGAACTGTTAGCTATTTGATTGGATAAATGAAACTTTAAGCATTTGTTACCAGACTAGTACTAATCTGAGTGGTGTTTTCTTTTTTTTAAAAAAAAAAACGTGTTTTTTAACATAATTTGAACATTTCATGAATAAAAGTTCATAATCCAAAAAAGAATAAAGTATGAATAACATGCTTTGGAAAAAAACTGGACCTGAGTCTCTAAGTTGTTGCTCATAAATGCATTTGTATAACTGTTGTGATTTTGCAACTTGACTCAGCCTGTGAAAATAAAGGAACCTGCAGTAAAATGTGTTAGTTATAAAAATGGGACAGAAACAGAAAGAAGCTTGTAAGGAAGGATCTTAAAATAATTTTTCTCCTGCCTTTTGAGATTTATATCTGTAACTTAAAGTTCTCAAGATGAAAGCTTGCGGAGTTGTTCAGTATTGCAAGGCTTTTGAAGTATTATGACTTACTGTTGATAGTAGTGAATTCAAAAGGTGAAATATATGATTTTTAAATTATACCTAAATATAGTTTGTGCAGGGTCACTATAGCAATGCATTTAAAAGAAATAGTTTAAAATAGCACGAGTGTTTGGAGAGGTTTTTCACATACTTTCCCCTCCATCCATATCCTTTGTCTTCAAGGGTAAGGTTACTGGGTTAGTTACAAAGTACTCAAGAGCAGAAAATATACAGACTAGTGTCCTAAATTGTAACCATCAACTAAAATCTCAAGTATTGCAATAGTATTCTAAGTTATTTAACACTGTGAAAAAATGGAAACTTGTAAAACTGCTCGTTTTCCTTGAACTTTTTTCCCATGTAACAGAAAAACAGCACAAGTCTTCTGTGAAAATGTTTTGATTCAATTCTTCACATATGATTTTGTTTCTTTAATACAATATGAAAGTTATCTATAATGAATTGTGAGCCAAATGTAAAGTTCCTGGATATGGATGGTACTTTTCAGTATTTGTGTACATGTGAATGTTTTAATACCAAGTTGTGGGCAAAAGAATGCAAGTGACTTTTGAGGAGAAACTAAGTTGTTGTTCATAGTAACTGATAGCAGAGAACATACCTTAAATAGCCTACCTTAAGAAGTAAGATTTTTGTAAGTGTGTTCAGGTTTTGTTTAATAGTTTCATATTCTTTTAGTCCACAGAAATCAGAATCTGGACATTACAAACGTCGAAATACAGAAGTAACAATTTCGTTCCCCAGTTTCTATGGAGAGTTACCAAGTAGTAAGTATATGGAGGAATGGCAATATTTGCTTTTAACTGTTTGTTGTGGGGTTTTTTTTGCTTGTCTTTTGTTGTTAAAATACATCATTTGACTTCAATAAAGAAAAAAAATGCTTATCTTCTTTAGCTGCAAGTAAGTCCAGTTTGCAAATACAGAAGCTGGATTATTTATTCTGTTGTTTTCTGTGAATATCACAAAAGCATGCAAACAAAATGTTGCCTGTTAAGTAATACTGGAATCAAGGATATATTTTTTCTGAGATGACGGAACATTCAGCTGAGTTTCTAAAGATGTTTTCTAGCAATCTGAAAAACAGAAATGTAATAAGGCAGTGTTGTCTCCCCCCTCCTCCATCTCCCTCATCACCATTACGTGCCTGCCCAATAATATATACAGCCCTTCAAGCAAACTGTTGCCTTAGTAATACAAGAGTCATCTTGACTGTTCAATAATGCCCTTAGACTTTTGACTTCGGGTGGAATAAAGTAATCTCTTCACCTTA